CATATCATAGAAAGAACCAAGAACCATTCAGATAATTCCATACTTAAATTAGATGAAGCATGAGAGAACAACATGAATTCATGTGAGTTTTAAAGGCGTTTCAAATCTTTAGATCATTTTGGTTCTCTTATTACTTGATGTAGAATTTCTAATGCCTCTACAAGTCACAGAATAAGGTGCCGATGCAGATCGAAGAGAGGGCGATTTTTCAAGATACGCGTACCTTTCATCGCCATTCCAATATAAAATGATCCGGTTCGTGCAAGAGTGTGACCAGCTATCACCTAATCAACTCAATGGAATCAGAATGCTTAAAGACATCCAAGGGGGTGCAACAAGTGACAGATCAACAATGATTTTTAACAGTGGAAGATAAGAGGAGACTTAAAAATGACATACCCAATGCAAGAGTCAATTGGAATGAACCTTCGGCGAACTTAGTGGTGACCTGATTCAATAGAACAACCTGCCGAAGAGTTGGAGAAAAGAGGAGAAAAAAGCAACAAAGACGGGGGAAAAACAATAGAACAAATTAGTCACTACTAGCATGAATGAAACAAGAAATTAGGAGGAAAATGATACGTAAAATAAAAACGGTAAAGTGACACAACCAAGCATATGTGTGTTTCTCTCAGCATTGGTTGAGTATAGATGCAAATTCAGGATATTGACATGATATGAAAGGGGCATAGGAAGAAAAATATCTTCTTCAAAGATATGGATTTCTCATCCATTTAAATGATTTACTTGTATCATGCTGAATCTTGTATTAGAAAAAATGTATTGAGAATTCAAAATATTTCAACACGTTCTAAATGTGACATGATATCGAGCAATTCGAAGTTTATTAGTCAAATACACTGATTTTTGTTATTCCCACGAGTCAAATTGTCTGTGTGTGTGTGTGTATATATATATATATATATATATATATAACTTATTCAATGTGCTAGTTTAAAGTGTCCATGCTTGCTAATAAAGTTGAGACACATTCAACTTTGTAAATCACTACTTATGTCAATTTAAGTTGACACTCTACCATATATGTTAGTTTGAAACATTATAATGAGATAACTGATTCTTACGGCCGAATTAAACTTCTTGGCCAGCTTCATTAACTTAAGAGCCATTTCACTGAGTAACCGTGTCCTGAGAGCCAAGTCGTCAAAATTTTGGCGGAAATGGAATGTCACACTATCAACTATGATAACCTTAACCTGCAAAGAAATAATCAGTAATTATCAAAATACTTGAACTGAAGGCCAACAAAGAAGATCTAGGAAAAAAAATTGTAATTCAGATAACTTTTTGGTTAGAAATATCCAAATCAAGAAAAACAACAATTTACTTGAGACAAAAGAAGAAAGCTTCCAAGCAGCATCATTAACGATTAAGCAATGTAATACAAGAAACTCGAACGACAAGAGAACTACACGTATCTGAATTCTTTTCCTAGACAGTGATAATAGTTTAAAGAGTTAAAGAAAATTCTACCTACATCTTTGTGCTCCGTAATGAACTTGTCCAGATAATTTACTAGGGCAATTTGCTCTGTATAGCTGCAGACACGAAAGTAAAATATGTTTTCCAAGATATCTTTTGGTTGGATTTGAACTTGATGAGGCGTTGCATTCTTTTTTACTAAGACACTGTAATCTGTCATATCTTCTATACATGCTTCAGCAATCTGCACAGCACGCTCCACCATAAAGCTCCCTTCTGTATCTAAACATCAAGGAAAGCCATGTTCCTAACTAGATTGCAAATATAGATTGCTAGAAAAAATTTCAAAAGCATTGGAAGCAAAATCTGGAATGGAAACCTACCTATATAAACTGCTTTTCCACCTAAGCCACCAAATGCACCTGGAATTTGAACATTTACGGCAAGTTGAATCCTGTTACTCGATGCAAAATAAACATTATGTCATTTTATTTCTGTATGACAAAGAATAATTTTCACACTGGGAGAGAAACATACAACAAAAATCCATACCCAAGCTGTGTTTTACCTATACCCGGTACCCCACCTGGCAAAAATAAATAAATAAAATGATTATATCTCTACTAAAAGCATAATAATAAAACATGAGTTGACATTCAAACAAAAAAGGGCGAGATTAAGATATTTCAATCGAGAACATGAGTTGACATTCCATTCTAACGTGCATGTTTCTTCAGAAAATAAAGGGGAGAATATAATGTATTCATTACACGTAATAATGCAACTGACCAGAGAGAATAACAATCACTAACCAATTTCCGTAACCTCACTGCTATTAATCCCTCCACCAAGAAGGTTATCTAAATCTGCACAAGATGTGGTAATACGTGGCAGTAACTGCTCTTTGTGGAGCATATCCCAAGCAGTCTCTGCACCTGTCCTAGATAAGAATTCCAAAATAGATATTTGAAATTACATGGATTGATCAGAGCTGGTTCCACGATATATTAATAATAATTAGAAAATAATGAAGTAATTAGATGTGGAAGTATTTTAAACAGACCAAAAAAAGGATAACCACCAATCAATAGTACATTAATCTATTAAACAACTATGTGATAGTAAATGAACATATCAAGGTATACCATAAGATACCTGCACTTTTGATAAAGTATTTTTGATCTTTGAGAAGATTGGAACTAATGAGATGATTCAATAAGGAAGAAATTGCTTGGCAGAAGAAACATGATACACACAAATACATCATAACCAATTAATGGAAGTAAACCACTCTGTGAATAAGTTAACAGTAGCAGTTTTATTTTTTTTATCTAAAACACAGTTGAAACTTCATAAAAAGGAACATACATATGAAAAAATTGTCATTAAAAATGAAGAAAAAAAGAAAGAAAAGAGCCAATTTTGTCTATTCATTTAGATAACTACATCTATTTTGAGCAAACTATGAAGTACTCATCTTTAATGAAGAAACTTCCAGATCCAACAAAGGGATGGCATTAAAAAACAAATCACGTGCACCTTATTTTTTATTTCATAAGTCACACAGTTCACAGTTTTCTTCTTACTGTTGCTTTCAATAAATAAGCTACGCAAAGAGGAAACTGTACCGTTAACAATAGCACCACTCCCGTCTGGCCTGTCCAGCCTACTGCCATGTGATGCAAATTTAAGAACTTCGAAAGCTTCATTGTTCGAGATTTCCAGTTCTGAATCACATGAGACGGCTTGTTAGCAACCCTCAACATTCACAGACAATGAAAGTGAAAACTAAAGTAACAGGACCGATGAAATTGAACAGAAAAGGGTGAAAATAAGTAAATAGATGAAATGAAGAGAAATACACAAGATTTATCATTTCGTGATAACAAGAAAAGAAAACCCTGAGACAAGCTACTTCTCAAGAAAAACTATTACCGCAAATAAGCTGAAGTGAGTGGATTTTTGGGTTACTGATAATGAAGAAAAATTCATGCTTCCGTCCCATCATTATTTAAGATCAAAGGAATTTACATTGTTTGCTTGTTTAAACAAGGGACGTTGAGAAGATTGAAGCTGAAATAGAACCTTTCGAGACAGAAAAGATTGATTGATTAAAATCTCATACTCAATTCTAAATCACTGCCAGAGAAGGTGGTTCAAATTGAAGGACCAATAATAACAAGATGTATGCATGCAAGCATGAAAACATTTCAAATTATCTAGCCTTGAAATATAGCAAAAGGAAGAATGAACCAATGCTGCAGCTAGTTCTGGTCATTAAAACTGTTTAATAAATTCCAACAGGAACCTACGGAGTCATAAAATTCCTTGAGGTCCAAAATTCAACATAAATCTAATCTAATCCATTGAGTCTTTTTTATATTTATGCCACAGAAATTCAAATTAACAACAGTCATAAGTCAAAAGATCTACTCAGGAGATTACGGATTGATTATCACAATATATTCATTCATTACCACAATTCAAGGCTCGAAGAGTCGTTTCCTATTTCTCGTTCTCTTCGAAATTTCCGAATGTTTTTTCTCTTATAAAATTCATCCTAGTGGTCGAATGATCTGAAATGGCTAATTTCAACCTCCTTTAAACAAACTCGTGCGTCGGATTATATTACACCAGTGGTAAAAAAAACAAGAACACACACAGAACGATGACATATGAATAAAAATCCAAAGAAAACGGAAAACCTAAGAATTTAAAGCGAAAACAGATGTTGAACAGGAAGTTCAATCAAAAGAAAAGGAAAGTGATGATACCTCGAGCAAGGTCGGAAGGAGAGACGGAAGCAAGAGAGGAGAGAGTAGTATAGCCTGCTGAAATCAGTTTACCTCGAAGCGTAGCGGATATCGGCAACCTCCCGACCTCCATATCTGGTTTCTCTCCGTATCTCCGAGTAACACTATCGGCTATCGCCGATAAAATGAAAGGAGTGAGGTTTCTACGGCGCGCGCAGGGGTAATTTTAGAAAAATAGCCTCTAAATGTTTTGAATTTGGAGAAAGACCCCTTTCAAAAACTGTTTCTTTTTTTACCAGTTGTGAAAAGACGAAATTACCCTTCTAATTTAAATTTGGATATGGTTTCAAAAATTAAAAAACTAAATTAAATAAAAATTTTAAAAATTTCAATAATACTTCAAAAATCCAGAAAATATCATAATTTTTTTCTTCAAAAAAACACGATGTTATATTTAAAAATGTTTATTTAATTCGTGGGACCACCTCAAACGAGGCGAGATATAGGAAAGAAACCGCCCATTTACGCATTAACCTGAAACATTATATTATAATATTAAAATTTGAAATTTTAGAAATTATTATAAATATTAAATTATATTTTTGTTAGTAAAATATTATTGAATTCAGTAATGTGTTTAACGTTCTCAAATATAAATTATATTAAAAATGTAAATTATCCATTAATGAGATTAATATTTAAAAAATATATATATATTTATGAGGATTTAATACCTAGTTGTGAAAAGACAAGAACAAACTCCAAAATTGTTGGAAGAATTATGAAAAAAACGAACCTCGCCTTAATTCTCAAGAGAAAAAGATGCCCAAATGTGTAGCCCACGGACCAGGATGCCTTTGCGGCTTCCTTCTCCAAGGTTCTCCATCTTCTGGAACCCTCCCGCCATAGCCCTTCTTCTTCCACCTTCTTCAACCTCCACGCTTCCATTTCTCTCACTCACAGTCTCCTCCGCCATGGCCATGGCCATGCCCTTCTCTTCCTCCTCTTCCAATACCCCCCTCGACCAAGACGATCCGAACCTCTCGCAGGTCCTCAAATACCACACCCAAACCAAGCACGCCTTCTCCAGCTACGCTAGAGGCCCCCACGGCCTCGATTGGGCCAATCAGCCGAACCCCTTCCGCCGCTACATCGCCGCCCCTCTTCTCCCTCTTTCCCATTTCCCGATTCTCAAGCAATCCGCCGCATCGGAGGATGTGATCGATGAAGCTCCTCGGTATGATTCTCTCTTTGTTTCGTTACCTAATCCGAAAACTGTTTGTAAAGCCACAATTTCTCAGTTCTTTTACGATTCTTTGGCTCTTTCTGCTTGGAAATCTACTGGGTTTTCCACTTGGTCGCTGAGAGTCAATCCCAGTAGCGGGAATTTGCATCCCACTGAGGCGTATTTGATATCTCCGCCTATAAAATCGATATCAGATTCTGGGTTTGTCGCGCATTATGCTCCTAAAGAGCATGCGTTGGAGATTAGAGCTCAAATTCCAGATGGGTTTTTCTTTAAATTCTTTCCTGAGAACAGTTTTCTTATTGGGTTGTCGTCGATTTTCTGGCGTGAGGCTTGGAAGTACGGTGAGCGAGCGTTTCGGTATTGTAATCACGATGTCGGCCATGCCATTGCGGCGGTTTCCATGGCTGCTGCAGGATTGGGTTGGGATGTGAAGGTTCTTGATGGATTGGGATATGATGATTTGAAGAAGCTCATGGGGTTGCATACATTCCCCGAGTTTGAAATCCCATCCCGACCTGTGAAGGGTTCGTTTCCAGTGATCGAATTCGAGCATCCTGATTGTGTTCTTGCTGTTTTTCCTAATGGTACTGCTGATTTTACCTTGAATTACGAGGAATTGAGCTCTGCAATACAGGAATTCACTGAGTTAGACTGGAAAGGAGAGGCAAATTTGCTCAGCAAACAGCATATATGTTGGGATATAATTTATAGAACAGCCATGGCTGTAGAGAAGCCATTAACAGGTGAATGCAGAGCTTTAGTTCATCCATTTGAGAGCAGTGGGGTTATTGGTGAACGTCCATACAAGGATTTTACAGTGAGGGAAGTCGTGAGGAAGCGCAGGAGCGCAGTCGACATGGACGGTGTCACATCGATAACAAGAGACACGTTTTATCAGATTCTTTTACATTGTGTGCCTTCGGGTTCTCGTGGAGGGGAGAAGCAAAGGGAAGGATTGGCATTGCCGTTTCGAGCTCTGCCATGGGAGGCTGAGGTTCATGCTGCTATGTTCGTTCACAGGGTGGTGGGATTGCCACAGGGTCTGTACTTTTTGGTGAGAAATGAAGATCATTTTGATGAGCTGAAGAAAGCTACTAAACCAGATTTTAAGTGGGTGAAGCCTGATGGTTGTCCTAGTGATCTCCCTCTGTATGAACTACATAGAGGTGATTATCAGGCACTTTCCAAGCGACTGTCATGCCATCAGGTTGGTTTAACTTCATTTCTATATGTCTATTTCGTGGTTTTTGTAACCGCTCAAGCTCACCAGCTTACCGTTAATAGATAAAGCTCACCATCAGTAGATATTGTCTTCGTTGGACTTTCCCTTTCGAGCTTTTCCTTAAGTTTTTTAAAACGTGTCTGCTAGCTAGAGGTTTCCACCCCTTATAAAGAATGTTTCATTCTCTTCCCCCACCGATGTGGGATCTCACGATCCACCCCCTTTGGAGCCCAATGTCCCAACCGATGTGGGATCTCACAATCGGTTCGGGGTTCAGCCTCCTATTGGCACAGCACCTCGTGTCCACCCCCTTTGGGGCTCAGTCTCCTTGTTGGCACATTGCTCAGTGTCTGGCTCTGATACCATTTGGAATAGCTCAAGTTCACTGCTAGCAGATATTGTCCTCATTGGGCTTTTCATTTTGGGTTTTCCTTCAAAGTTTTTGAAATGCGTTTGCTACCGAGAGGTTTCCACACCCTTATAAAAAATGTTTTGTTCTCCTCCTCAACAGATGTGGGATCTCACAATCCACCCCCTTCAAGGCCCGGCGTCCTTATTGACATCATTCCCTTCCAATCGATGTAAGACCCCCCAATCCCCACCTCCTTTGGGGCTACCGTCCTTACTGGCACACCGCCCCGTGTCCACCCCCTTCAGGACCCAACTTCCTCGCTAGCACATCATCTCGCGTTTGGCTCTGATACTATTTGTAATAGTCCAAGCCCACCGCTAGAAGATATTATCTCTTTGGGCTTTCCCCTCGAAATTTTTAAAATGCGTCTAGTGACCACTGCAATGCCCTTTAAATTTCTTGCTAGTTAGGGAAGTATGCATGCAGAATGTAGATGGGATATTGACATTAGACTTATACCCATATGATGACACGTTCAAAATACTCATATGCAGGATATTGCCAGTGATGGTTGTTTCAGCCTGGGAATGATTGCTCATTATGAGCCTACGCTGCGGCAAAAAGGTGTTTACATGTATCCTCGACTCTTTTGGGAGACTGGAGTTCTTGGGCAGGTGTTATACCTTGAATCTTATGCTGTTGATATATCTGCAACTGGAATTGGTTGCTTCTTTGATGATCCTGGTAAGATCTATGTTTTGTAGTTTCCACTGATCTGCAGAAACTTATCGTTCTTGTACGTTTTTGAATTCGGAAAAGAAGTCTGTAGAGTAACAAATCGTTCGAGGAATCTTTTGTGAGATCCCACATCGGTTGGAGAGGGGAACGAAGCATTTCTTATAAAGGTGTGAAAACCTCTCCCTAATAGACACGCTTTAAAACTTTGAGGGGAAGCTCGAAAGAGAAAGTCCGAAGAGGACAATATCGGCTGGCGATACAAATGGTATCAGAGCCAGGCACTGGGCGGTGAGCTAGCGAAGACGCTAGGTCCCTCAGGGGGTGTATTGTGAGATCCCACATCGGTTGAAGAGGGGAATGAAGCATTCCTTATAAGGGTGTGGAAACCTCCCCCTAAAAGACACGTTTTAAAACCTTGAGGGGAAGCCCAAAAGAGAAAGTCCAAAGAGGGCAATATTTGCTAGTAGTGGGCTTGGACGGTTACGAATGGTATCAGAGCCAGACACCGGGCAGTGTGTTAGTGAAGACGCTAGGCCCCTAAGGGGGTGGATTGTGAGATCTCACATCGATTGAAGAGGGGAACGAATCATTCCTTATAAGGGTGTGGAAACCTCTCTCTAACAAACGCGGTTTAAAACCTTGAGAGGAAGCCCAAAAAGGAAAGCTCAAAGATGACAATATCTGCTAGCGACGAGCTTGGATTGTTATAAATGGTATCAAAGCCAAACACTAGGCGGTGTGCCAGCGAAGACGTTAGGCCCTTAAGGGGGGGTGAGATATGAGATCCCACATCGGTTGAAGAGGGGAACAAAGCGTTCCTTATAAGGGTGTGGAAACCTCTCCCTAGTTTAAAGCCTTGAGAGGAAGCCTGAAAAAGAAAGCTCAAAGATGACAATATCTGCTAGCGATAAGCTTAGATTGTTATAAATGGTATCAAAGCCAAACACTAGGCGGTGTGCCAGCGAAGACGTTAGGCCCCTAAAGGGGGGTGAGATATGAGATCCCACATCGGTTGAAGAGGGGAACGAAGCATTCCTTGTAAGGGCGTGGAAACCTCTTCCTAACATACGCGGTCTAAACCTTCCTCAAGTATTATGATGAATACCTTTTAGGGTCGATAAATATATGCGATACCTCAATCCGTCCTCCATTTGGTTTGTTTTGCAGTGCACGAAACACTAGGGTTGAAAGGATCAAACTTTCAAAGCCTGTATCATTTCACCGTTGGAGGTCCTGTCTTGGACAAGCGAATAATGAGCCTACCAGCATATCCTGGCCCCAACGTGGATGCTTAACTGCAAGGTTATTTTCTCTCACTGTATAATAATATTTCAAAGCCTTAAAAGAACAAGGGACTTTCGTCCTCATAATCAGAGTCTTAGCGTAAAAATGGAAGCAAATTGCTTCTTTAGATAATAAAACCAAACTACTGCCGATAACAAGTAAATTCTCATTGTTCTAGCTTAGGATGAGTCAGTAGTGCAAGTGTCGAAGCTCACTATTAGTAGATATTGTCCTCTTTGAGCTTTTTCTTTCGGGGTGTGTCTCAAAATTTTTAAAATGCGTCTACTAAAGAGAGATTTTCACACCCTCGTAAAGAATGTTTTCTTCTCTTTCCAACCGATGTAGGATCTCACAATTCACTCCCTTCCTTCAGGACCCAGTTTCCTCGTTGGCACTCGTTCCCTTCTCCAATTGATGTGGAACCTCCCAAATTCACCCCCCTTCATGGTCCAACATTCTTGCTAGCACACCGTCTTGTGTCCACTCCCTTCTGTGTGCTCAGCTTTCTTGCTGACACATCGTCTAGTGTTTGGCTCTGATACCATTTGTAATGGTCCAAGCCCAACCGCTTGCAGATATTGTCCTCTTTGGACTTTCCCTCTCGAGCATCCCCTCGAGAGAGATTTCCACACTTTTATAATTGTCCTTCGTTCTTCATTCTTCGTTCTCCTCCCCAATCGAGATAGGATCTCACATTATTTCTCTACTAATTGCTTATAATTCATTGCCTCCAAATTTCTTGATTTTGTATTCGCTTGTATTCTACTTCAAGTTCTACCTTCCCATCCGCCGCAAGAAAATTCCATTACAAGCCTGCGTAATGGACGGCTTCTTCCATCATTTCACTGAAGGAAGCCTTTCCGTCGGAATTTTCGAAGCTATCTCTCCGGATTTTGTTAATTACATTTGAAATCTACTCGTTCAAACAAAGTACCAGGAAAATTCCGTCGGACTGGCATAGAATTGATGAACAATCACCCGAAATTCAACTAAGAAGTTAAGATTCCGAAATAAACAAGTAGAAGAAGAGAAGAATTTCATCGACCTGGAGAATGAGAATCTGTTCTTGGAGTGTCTCCTACTTCCGCCATGGCGGTCGATTCCTTCCTCCAGGCAACGTTGTGGTGCTTCGTTTCTTCTTCGACTCCATATTCTCCATGGCCCTAAAACCAAAAGATTCTTCCGTAATCGATTGGAACACACTAATCGTAATGAACTGTGCAGGAAGATCAATTTATGCAGCTTGTAGTTTGCAAGTATAATTTTTTTTTTTTTGTATTGAAACTATAAAATTAGCGAATATAGTTCGAAAATACCTTTAATCATTCAAATATTTTCATTATTTAGCTAAAAAAAAAATTATATGAATCTATTATCTCACATTAATTAAACTTAAATAGATAAGAGGTCGAAAGTTCAAAGGTTCAAATATTTTTATTATTTAACTAAAAAAAAATTATATGAATCTGTCATCAAGAATGAATTACAAAAATATTCAAATATTTTTATTATTTATCTAAAAAAAATTATATGAATCTATTATTATCTCGTATGAACTGAGCGTATATACCTCAAAAATACCTTTAACTAGTAGTCGAAGGTTCAAATATTTTTATTATTTATCTTAATAATATGGATTTATTATCTTGTACTATAAAAAAAATTAATATTAAAATTACAATATTATTTTAAGCAAATATTTCAATATATTTTTTAATATCGATAAGTTTCATTATCTGCTGTTAGAACATTATCACAAAATATTAATTTAACTTGATATTTATAATTTTAAAAGTTTTTTATTTTAATTTTTGGGATTTTTTTTATTTTTATTTTTTAGATTATAGACGATGTAGAATAAATAAATAAATAAATAAAATAAGTCAGTAAAAAAAGCATGTTGTACCGAAAAAACCAAAAAGTAAGAAGTCATGTGGTAATAATGATGGATAATTTTGAGAATGTAATGGAAAGGGCAAAGTTGAAATTTCAAAATTTTAAATTATTATAAGATTAAAATAATAATTTATAATTTATAATTTTTTAAGATAAAATATTTTACCACAGAAATATGTTTTATAACAAATAATTAAACATTATTACAAATAGAAAAAAGTCTATAAATTAAATAATTAATTATTTAACAATTAAAAATATCTATATTTAAAAAATACAGAGTTCTTTTGGGAATTAAAATATTATGATTTGTTATGAGTAGAAAGAGAATTTTTAGAAGCACTCGAAAAGAAGATATGGGGAAAAGACGAAATTACCCTTCCTCGTTGCCTTTTTACCCTTTCTTTACCAAGCGGAAGGGCACAGAAAAGGAGAGCCTTCACCGTGCGCGTGGTTCCTCGTTTCGAGTTCCTGCAAATTTTCGTTAACTTCCCGGCGATTTTCCGGCCACTGTAAGCTCCGTAAGGCTCTCTTTCTTTACTCTGTAGCTTTCGAGAATCTTATGGTGAATCGTTGAATGGAGCTACTTTTTGATTTTTAGTTTGCTTTTCCTTGATGTGTTTGATTTGATTCAACGTAGTTTGATTGAGGAGTCTGTCGAGATTTAGGGTTTTGAAGTGGTTGGAAATGTTGAATTTTGTTGTTTTTTGCTTCTCGTTTATATTCTATGTGGGGCTAATGAATTAGTTGGGACTTTGGTGCCGGAAAGATTAGTGGTAATGCTAATTTTGGGTTGGTTTATGTATGATTGGTTGGGAACTCGAAATTTTAGCTCAAAAGATGTTAGTTAGAGGCCAATGTGTTTGAGATTTATTTTATTCATAGAGGCATCGTGTCTCATAGGGATCTGATCTATTGATCACCAGATCAGTGAAGATGTATATGCTGTAATTACACTTTTAAAATAAGTTGTTCAGTGTAATTCTATTGAGATGGAGAAAAAAAAGCTTTGGGAGCTGACTAAGACACCTAGACAATCCAACAATTGTGTGATAGATGATCGAGCTATTATTTCAATCTATACTATAATTTTGTTTTGATCCTTAGATGAAGTAATCTTGGCCCTAGGGGGTATGTTGGGAGCTGTTAAGACTAAGCATATTGAGCCTAATGTGGCAAGGAACCAACCTAAGAATGTAAATATATCGAGTTTTTGCTAACGACGCTTGTTGTTTTTTGAGTGGAAGACCCCTCACCACACGTTCACACGCAGCCAAACAAAAGAAATTAAATGAAGATATGTTATTTGGGTAGTTCCATAACATCTTTCCCTAATCAGCATTGTGAGGCTGGTGGTGTACTACTAATCTCCTTTTCACCTCTAACCAATATTTTAGAATTACCGTTAAAGTGTAATATTACCAACTGAATCATTAGTTTTACTAAGGAAACTCAGTTCAAGAAATATGCTCTAATGTATTATTATTCCTGGAATCCACCATAAAATGCGTCCGAGATTCTAACGTATAAATCAGAAATTGATTCTGCTTCTTCCTGATAGATTGATTTCCTTGCTCTTGTATGTAGGTGGAACCTTACCGTGTTTGCTGGAGCACCTTAATGATGCCAATCCCATAGGTATGCAGATTGTGCCATTCTTTTCTTTCCAATATTTTTCTGCTAGTTTTCTTGTTTTGTAAAACGATAAATCGCCAGGTCTGAGGTGGCTGAAAGAGGTGCTTTATGACGTGTGCTATCGTTCTTATCCCATTATGAACCTTGAAAATTATTAAGTGAACATTGCTAAAAATATCTTGATATAGTAGGCATTAGAAGTGGTGATTCACTGATAGACCTGACAAGTTATGAAACCTTAATGTATGGTTTAGTTTATGCATGCATGAAATCTAGGCTGCATTGTTTTTTAGCCATCTTCAATAAGGGATAAAATATTTGTATTTCTCGCTTGAAGTACTGTCATTGTATGGATACAATATTTCATCTGCACCTCGAGATAAAGCAAGCGTTCTTGTGTTAATTTTATCTGGACCTCCCTGTTAATTCCTAGTAGATGTCGTGTACACTGCTTTGGAGATTGCAGGTGGATGATATTGGTGCTCTATTTGAAGGAAGTTTATTGTATTCCCATTTTCAGAAGTAGCTATGCTAGTGACTGAAGCAAAAGATAACCAACTCCGTGAGAGCAGTAGCCAGAAGGTTCACCCACAACCCATGGAAGAGGCCATGAACCAGAAACCCGAAGCAGTGGAAGCCCTTATATCAAAGCTTTTTGCTAACATTTCTTCCCTTAAGTCTGCTTATATCCAGCTCCAAGGTGCTCATACTCCCTATGATCCTGAAAAGATCCAAGCCGCCGATAAACTTGTAATTTCTGAGCTGAAGAAACTATCCGAGCTCAAACACTTCTACCGAGAAAACAACCCCAAACCAGTATGTGTTTCGCCACAGGACTCACGCTTAGCTGCTGAGATACAAGAACAACAAAGCCTTCTGAAAACCTATGAGGTTATGGTCAAGAAATTTCAGTCTGAAATTCAAAACAAAGATTCCGAGATTCATCAGTTACAGCAGCAGATAGAGGAGGCAAATCAGAAGAAGATAAAACTGGAAAAAAACCTCAAGCTTCGAGGGCTATCAATGAAAGATTCAGAAGCTTCAGCAGATGAAAATGGAATTTCCCCTGTAGACTTGACCCCTGATCTGTTTATATCGGCCGTGGAAGGCACTTTTAAGGCCATTCATGATTTCTCCAAGCCATTGATTAACATGATGAAAGCAGCTGGCTGGGACCTTGATGCTGCTGCTAACTCAGTCGAATCCAACGTCATCTACGCAAAAAGAGCTCACAAGAAATATGCATTCGAGTCCCACATATGCCAGAGAATGTTCTGTGGCTTTCAGCACGAAAGTTTCTCGATCAAAGTTGACGATCTTGCACTCAAAAAAGAGGATTTCTTCCGGGAATTTCTTTCATTGAAGGACATGGATCCATTAGACATGCTCGGGCAAAACCCGGATTCCATTTTTGGTAAATTTTGCAGGAGCAAATACCTACTAGTAGTCCACCCAAAGATGGAAGCCTCATTCTTTGGAAACTTAGATCAAAGAAATCATGTGGCAGGAGGTGGACATCCTAGAACTCCTTTCTACCAGGTCTTCCTTAAATTGGCTAAAGCAATCTGGCTACTACACAGGTTAGCATATTCCTTTGATCCAAACGTCAAGGTATTCCAGGTTAAAAAAGGAAACGAATTCTCCGAGGTATATATGGATAGCGTGGTCAAGAACTTAATCATAAACGAAAACGACCCGAAACCGAAAGTCGGGCTGATGGTCATGCCAGGTTTCCTGATTGGTGGAACGATAATTCAGAGTCGAGTTTATCTCTCGGGCATCAAGGTTGCTGAATAAACGAACACGATGAGCAGGTCGTGAAGGGATCGGAAAGGTATGTAGGCGTCTATGTATTTGTTGAATACGGGTTTTCTCTGTTTGTTGTAATATATAGAGAGAGCCGCTGTCTTTGTGTCCTGCTGTTGTTGTTAGGCTTTCTGGTGAAAGAACTCTTAGTTCTCTCCCTGTTCTCCGTTAAGGTTATATGCTTTGTTTTATGTTAATGTATTCGTTTTTCAAGAGCAGAGAAATTAAATTTACTACCCCAAAAATTTTATTAAGCTGTCCAATTCTTTGCTTTTATCTCTAGGGGATCATTCAAATTTTTTTAATTATATTTGTCTTATGCTTGGAATAATTTCAAAGTTTATACGGCTAAAAATGAAGAAGATTCTGGATATTTTTTTTATAATTTAATCTATTTTAAAAGTTATGCCCTTTTGCAAGAGACTTGGGTTCAATTCTCGGCCCTTCAAGTAGACGCGAGTAAATGTTTTCTTCTTCCTTAGTTTATACTTAGGACAATTTTTAGTGGATATAGTATGATATTAAAACGAGAAAATAACTTTTCTGAATGAGTTAATGACGCGTCTCAAATAGGAAAAAAGTGTCAATGTTAACATCTATGAAAATGACTCGAAAATGGCCTAAGATGAAAGGGTTTAAGTTTCATATTTTAACTAAATATGTGTCTAAGTTTCGTATTTTAACTCAACATGTGTCAAATTCATCAAACTTAGAGCGTTAATTGAAAAATATCGAAAGAAATAAAAAAAAAACGTAGTTTTTTTTCACTCCATAAAGGTCTTTTCGACAGGGTTCAGATTACGAGGTCTTATAGACACGAGTAAATGTTTTGGTCTTCTCGACAGGATTCAGATTACGAGGTCCTATAGACACGAGTAAATATTTTGGTCTTCTCGACAGGATCAGATTATGAGGTCTTATAGACACGAGTAAATGTTTTGGTCTTCTCGCAAATATTTTTTTTTCTTCCTTATTTTTAAGCTTGGGACAATCTTCAATGGATATGATACGATACTAAAACAAGAAAACAACTTTTCCTGAACGAAGTAACAACCCTATATTGTAAAAAAAAAGTTTCATTATTAACACCAATGAAATTTGACTCCAAAATTGGCCTGAAATAAAAATGTTTAAGTTTAATATATTAACCCATCATATTTTACCTTTATTAAAAACAAAAATTTGAATATATAGCTTCAAACGACTTAAACTCAAAAAGTTAATAGATTTACAGTTGGATTGATTATTTAATATGAATGGCTTGTTCTTACGTAATAATTCGACCTTATAAATTTTCTTAATTTGTATAATCTCACAGAGATGGTTAAAAAAAAGCATCTGTTCCTCGAAAGAAAATAAAAGAGTAGACATCACAAACAAAGGGAAGCTGAAAGTGATTTGGTGTATGGATAAAGAGAAATAAACATAGGCCATTGGTGGGGCATCAGCATTAGCACACGGCTTCATCGCCCTCAAAGCCCAACAGACAAAAATAGGCAAACTTCAATAAATAAAAACAAAAATCAGTTCCATTACTATGAGACATTATTTGTGTCATGTTTCCAAGCCGTTTTTAGAAAGTCTGGTGTCTTCTGAAACTGAGGCCAAAAATGGGGAGTTTCAAGATAATCTAATCAGCTCAGCCATGGAAACACCTTGGGAGATGTAGGCAACCGAGCTGTGAGGACTTCAACTCCAGTTTCTGTTACCTACATATCACAAAATTACACCATATTTTAGTGAATTTCCATTTCAGGTGCAAGCTAGAACAAAAAAGACTAATAAAATCGACTAAACCTTGTTAGACTCGCATTGAATTGAATTAGGTAGGTTTACAAAATATTCGGTTATTTCTGTTTGAATCGATTGTTGTATTTGTGAGATCTCACGTCAGTTTGGAAGGAGAACAAACATTCTTTATAAGAGTGTAGAAACCTCTCTCTAGCATATGCGTCTTAAAACCTTCAGGAAAAACCCGAAAGGAAAAGCCCAAAAAAGACACTATCTACTAGCGGTGGGCTTGGCAGTTACAAATGGTATCAGAGCCAGACATTGGGCAATATGTCAGCGGTGAGGCTGAGCCCCGAGGGGGGTGGACACGAGACGGTGTGTTAGCAAGGGCGCTGGGCCTCGAAGGGGGTGGTTGGGGGATCCCACATCGATTGGAGAAGGGGATAAGTGCTAGTGAGGACACTGGGCCCTGAAGAGCGGTGGACTGTGAGATCCCACGTCGGTTGGAGAGGAGAACGAACATTCTTTATAAGGGTTTGGAAACCTCTCCCTAGCATACACGTTTTAAAACCTTGAGGGAAAATTCAAAAGAGAAAGCCCAAAGAAGACAATATCCACTAGCAGCGGGCTTGGGGCTGTTACACAATTCGTTCTAGGCAATTTGCTTTTGTTCGTTTAGATAGGGCAGTGAGTTTGGAAAGGACACGACGTTGGTTTTTTTCCTTTAAACCAATAGGTCGGCTTGACGTTGATTTTCACCAAAAACCAACCTAAACTGACACACTGACACCCTACATATAATCTTACTTGACTGTCAATTAAGGAATGAAAGGATTGAAAAAAAAATGGTTCATAGAGGTCTAGAACCCAACAGGTAATTGCGTGTGATGCAACATGTGCTTTACAACAAACAGTTCTCTAGTGTTTCAGTTCTTGGTGGCCATGCAAATTTCCTTCAGAAAATGTTGGCATACAGTGCAAATTAAGAACAAGTCGGGGATGCATATGGTATCAAAAGAGGTTATAGAAACATCTTCCAATTAGCGAAGATCGTCTAAGAGACAGGTTATCCATAACTTGATTTTAGCCAGACCATTATAACCAAGATATTAATATTGGAAGCAGGGATAGTCGAGGGATTTTCATTGTTACCAAGAGTGTGTGTTCGAACTGAGCACTTCGTTTGCCATCAGCTGTAACAGCAGTCCATCCATCAGGCCACATCCGATCACGCCATACTCCTGTGCTTAGAATATTTAGAATTATTCGAAAAAGAAAAGGAGGGGAAACACGTGTCGTGCTGGAACCAAATAGTGAGTGAACACGAACCTGCATTGATCATTGGTTCGATTGTAAAGGTCTGCCCGGCTTTCATCACACCAACTGCTTTGTTTCCTGGTCAGTACATAACTGAGAGTAAGATGTTTATAGAGGAGGCCAACAAGAGGTAGAAAAACATATAATTTTTACTATCTATAGTTTGCCTCGCATTCCAAACTCAACAACCAATGAAGATGTACATCGTCACCGGATCGTGCCCTTTAGACAAGGCAATTGGGGGGGGGGGGGACCACAATGTGCCCCAGGTGAAACACCACGTTGAATGTATGAAAGAGAAATTGTTTGAATTTATACCCCGTGTTAAGGACGTGGATTTTCAAATCCACATCCAACGGACGCTTATTAAGACCAACTACTATTGAGTAGTAACCGCATAGAATAATTTTTTAGGGGGGTGGGGGAGTAGTGTTTGAGACCTACTTCACCTATTACTTACTTCCATAATGGGGAATATTAGGGGCACAATGAAAGAGCTCTCCAATGCCATGCCCACAATATGACCTGACCTAATTGTACAAAGAAGGCAGTGGAGAAAATAAACAAATTAAACGAACATTTAATCCGGTAGAACTAGAAGTAATAGAGACTTTAATTGGAAACTGAAGTTAGACATTACCACAGACAAGCCCGACATAGAAGCATGACGATTAATTACTTCTCCAACATCACGGAATCTAACTCCAGGCTTCACTGATGATGATTACAAACAGTTCAGAGAAAAAAAATTTATAACATTAAAAAAATAATAATAATAATACTAGAAACTAAAATTATATCAAGAAAGGATCATGTCACAGCAACACTATGAACAATAGCCTATTCTTAATAATCGACCTAATCTAAGCTTTTCTTTCGATTGTAGACATAGGTTCACTAGGAAGATTTAAGAATGAATTCTATCAAACGAACTTTTAAGTAGAACGGGCACAGATAAGAGCAACATAATGCACATCTGTTTCCATACAAGGCAAAAACAAACTCTTTCTATGAATCCGCAAAATGAAGACTTCGTATATGTTTTTTCCAGGACGGATTACAAAATTTAAAATAATTTTGACTATTCCCTGTTTGATTTTAAAGCTCGTGGATAACTCATAACTTCCTCCACATGTTGCCACTAATAAATGCTTAACCCCTACTTCTAAGTAACAAGTCGTGCCAATATGAGCATAGCTCAAGTGGTCAAAGACACCTTTAGGAGATAGTTGGATGTTCAAATCCCTCAACCGCTCATTTCAACTCAAAAGTAAATATAAAACCAGGAAAGAAGTCTTGGACCAAAACATTCAGCTGTAAAAACTGTCGACACTAACACAAGACTAACTATATAAAGGCCTAACAGTCCAGCAATGGAGAAAAGTTATTTGTTTCCCAACTCGAAAAATTAGTAATACCATCTAACCTTGTATTAATACAAATGAATAGTCTAGATTTTCAATACGCTACAAGAAAGAGCATAGTCACAGAAAGTGAGGAAAGAGTAGGTAAAGTCCATGGTGCATTATTGACACATACCCATGGCTATAGCTTTCTCCAAACACTCGTAAGTACACTGGACTAAACGTCGGGACTCTTCATCAACTTCTCCTACGAAGTATGTCTCATTGAGATCACCTACATTTCAACTTTTTAAAGTTAGCAATCAGCAGAAAATGAACTTGTTTGGGTCAATTAAAACCGATCAGTTACACGTCTTACCATGATAACCTTTATAGTACACAGTCACATCAACGTTTACAATATCACCATCTTCTAGTTTCCTGAAACAATTAGAGCAAATGTTGAATAAACGTCTACCTCATCAAATGATCAAGATTGGTGCCAATTTCTAATTCAAAGCATGAAGACACAGATTCATCAACATGAGATGTGCCAAATCCACATGAACGAGGCATTAAAACACATACCTTGCATCAGGAATACCATGACAAATCACTTCATTAACAGAACTGCAAAGAGAGAAACAAACTGAAATTTGTATGATCCAAAAAACACAACAAATAAAATATACGAAAATTGTGCAAAAAGTAGTGCATACGTGCAGCAAGACTTGGGAAAGAAATGATAATTGAGGGGAGATGGATATCCACCTGAAACAATGTATGAAAAGAATTAGTAATCACGGTACCCATGCAAATGATCTTTCCCCTGAATCATAATTAACCTATTTTGTAAGAAAAATAAATCTCACAATAAACTGGCACATTTGAAAGTTCAAAAGGTAGTAAAACAAAACAAGAGAGAATCCAAATGAAAGCAAAAGAGAAGAAGAAATCAAAGTACATCTTTGACAAAGATGGCAATAACACAACAATGATCCCTTTCCCAAATAGTGGAAAGGAAGAAAATAGCTACCTCTCCTGTCATTGGAACTTCTGCAGATTAATCAAGTGGACATCACGATTTGAAACCATCACTCCGAAGGCATTTAAATTTTTTACTTGCCTCTTTTAACTACTAGACCAACCAATTGAAGGTACTACTTCAAAAAAAAATAATAATAATTTACAGAAGAAAAATATTTGTTGTTTCTAATACCTGCAGCTATCGTTGCCTCATGAACCACACGGTCAATTTCATCAGTAGTTATACCCGGTTGAATCACTCTAGCAGCCGCATCTAAAACTTCCCTTGAAATCTAAAAAATAAATTATTTAATCACCGGATAGACTCTTAAAGCATAAATGTAAAAATACAAATGTATGCTTCATCTGGAATTTTCAATAAATTTTAGAAAAACATACTCAAACTATAAGATGAAAATAAACTGATAAAGCAAGAGAATCAACTTGGCAATTAAAATTGAAGAGAAGTAAGACATACCCTGCCAACCTCTCTCATTATCTCAATTTGATCTGGTGTTTTGATCTTTGAGGAAAAGAATATATATAATTAGTCAAGTGACTGAAATTTTCAATTAAAAAATTTAAAACTAATAGCTAAGGAACAGAAGGTTACCTCAACAACATGTTGGAAATCGCTATTTGGCTCAATTTTGGGAAGTCCCTGCAAATTTAGAGAAAAGACAACGAGTACCAATTAAAAAGTGATGCAGAAATAGAAACAGAAACAACATTTATATGAGATCAGCTGAAAAATATAGTATCATATATGTACATTTGGGGACAAACAAACCTCCAAGACCTGCAAACATTACTGTTTACCCATATCCTTAACTCTCTTATCAATCAATTTATATTTCAAGAGAAGAATGGATGAAGAGCAGAAAGATTTATTCAAACAGGAGATTACACCAGAGTGCCACTAACGCGCATGAAGGGTGCATCCAAGTTTCTTAAATATATATATATATCAAGAGAGCATCAGCTAGTGAAGTATAAAATATAATTCTACCGTACTCATATCAGATCTTCATTGGACAGCTTTCAATAAAATTATTCATTTCCCTGCCAAGCTTTTGTTTCGCTTGTTGGCCCAACAACTTAGATTGCTCAGCTGCAAAATGTTGCTCTTCGTTTTAATCTTCAATTTTCTCTTCGGAACTGAAGACGTGATAGCTATTTAGCTATGGCTAGTATTTGAGATGGTCAAGTGTTGGTAATGCAGTTTTGGATTCTTTTGCTGGGTTTGTAGGAGGGTCTTTAAATCTAGATGTTTGGAATAATGGATTGTTTAGTTGCTTTCAGATATTTTAGTTATCCTATGTTTCATTGTATTCAGTTGTTTGCTGGTCATTTTCCCATGTAAACTCTTGCTCCTCTTTATACTTTTTCATTTCATCAATGAAAAATTATGTCCCTTAAAAAAAACAGATAAAATTATTCATTTGTTATGGTCAATGTATATATTTGAAGTACAAGATGACATTTCAATATTAAGTATCCAACAAAAAGAAGAAAGAACAATCTGATTCGTAAGAGAGAATCTTGAACTCTAATTCTTAGCATTTTGACTCACTCACGACTCAACATGTTCAAAGTCTCCAACCGACTGAACACTTCATCTGCATGCCAAAACTAATGATTAATGGCCAAGGAAACAGAGTCGGAAACCCACACCAGGACAACTGATTGAGGACTCTCTAAAACTTCAGGTCTTTTACTCCCAGCATTCAATCTTTAAAATGGGGCATCCGCATACATTTGCAAATGAACTTTTTGGATGCGTTTCTATTTTCACAAAGCATAAGTAGGTTGGAAGCATTGAAAATAGAAATGCATATTTTGCCTACTTGATTTTCATATATGAAACTTAGATAGATCTATGCATTCATTCTGAGTACTATATCAACATTTTTCTCTAACATTCATGAAGGCTAAATGCACAACAAGAATTATTGAAACTCACGTCATCTGCCCAATCTGGTCGCTCTATATGAGGAGGAACAATTCGCTTGCTAGATATGGGATATGGCCTTAGAGTCCTGTAAAATAACAGAGGGAAGTCATGCATCCAATGCTTCAAAATAAAATATTTCACATGTTTAACTTGGAAGTTTAATTTGTTAATGCCATCTTGAAATCAATAATAATCAACGTTGAAAACCAATGGGAAAACAGTCTTAATGTCTTCTATCATGAAGTTTAGGGAAGGGAACCACACACCAATTTTAATCAAAGGTACAAACAGTATGTAAATCACTCATATCAATCTACAGGAACAGAGTCTTCAGATGAAAGATCAACAAGATGGGTTTCTTCACAAGAATGCCATAAACTATAGAGTTCAGATTTGCTTCAAGCACCACGTGCTGGATGTTAATGGTCTCATAATATACATTTACAGCCAGCCCAAGAGTACTACTCTAGTATTGTGAAATTGGCAACAAGGTAGAAGATACAATATAGAACGGTACAGCCAGCTTTTTTGGAATAAAACATGGTGCAACAAACTCTTTTAACACATTTTACCAATTTTACGACATAAGATCTAAGTGTAAGCTTTATTTTAATTAGCAAATGAATAAACAATCCTGAGAGCAGGACATCCATTGGAAGAGAATGCTATAGAAAAAAAATACTTATCCAATTGAACTATGGGATTAACGTGAGTACCCAACAAGGAAAAGATGTATAGGATGTATAATACAAGAACAATGTAAAAGCCTCAATGTTTACCCTGTCCAATCAAAATGGGGAAGTTTTGGCGATCTTGCTTGTCCTTTCTTCAAGCAATATAGCCAACCTTCACTCGCTCGATCTGAATTTTGTTCCCCAGAATTACCAGTCCCGATCAGAGACAGTTTTTCTTTTAAATGTACTGATTTGTGAGCGCTCCAAGATGCCTTGAAACAATCCTGAGAGCTGTTGTGATAAGAAATTTCATAAATATAATCATTCATTATGATTCCAGTTTTAACAAATATTTTATCCAAATCATCAAAGGGCCATCTAATACAGAAACAATGTCCTGTAAAGCAAGTGATTATTAGTTTTCCAATATAGATGAATCAATACCCTGCAGACACTAAATAAACACAAAAAGTCTTGATGCATAAGAAACTGTAATGTTTAAGTTCTGAATGTTATACAATTACATGTGGAGGTTCTTATATATGCCCAAATACGTGTCAAACTTCAAATTCACAAGTTCTCAACCTGACAGAACGTGAATGTAAAAACGTCCAGTAATGATTTCCTCAACTCACATCATATTACATGTTCACAAACAATGTTTTTAAGAAAAAAATGGAATAAAAGCTTAACTTATACGATTGATTTAACTAATATCCAATAAACATCTAGAAGTAATTGGAAATGATTACAGACCAAAAAGCAGCACCCTCCCGAGGAAGCTTCAGTTCCATACACTTTGGACACCTAAAAATAAGATAAGTTGATTAGGGGAAAAAAAAAGGAATTAATAAAAAGTACAAATGGTTCTCAAGGAATATGTTGACTGCAGAACTAAAAAATAAAAAATAAAAAACATAATAATAATAATAATATGTGAACTACAACCTTAAAAACAAACAAATCAAACAGAGTATCCCTAAAGAACGGGTCTCAAATAATTCCAAACAACAAATTTATCATTGAATTACACTCTGAAACACAAACCCTACACTGTCATTATTGCTACTATCACACTTCTAAGATACACACTGTTTAGTCGGACTAATTATCAATCACCAGATGATAGAACCCATTAATGAAATGCCATTTGCTTTTGAAGTACTATTAAGACCCAAAAGCTGTGGTGGCTTTCACTTGACACTTTTGCTGTCTACTGATCAGCCCATATCCAAGTTCAACATGGTTCGAAGCAATCTTTGGTTGGAAATCCCTTCAAGCCAAAGAGAAAGGTGCTATGAAACAATGCAGTTAAATGCCTTTTCAGGTGAGTTTAATGAGAAAGAAACCAATAAAATTTTCAAATTCAGAAGTGTGAGGATGTCTTGGATATAAAGTTCTTACAGCTTCCTTCTAAAGCCATTCGCATTATTTTAACCATAATTCTTTTTTATTTAAGCCAAGTAGAGAATTAGTAAAAATCCCCTTGGCTTTAAATTGATTTCTCATCATCCATTTATACTTCACTTGATCCAAAACAGAGTCAAAATCAAGCATTCATTAGTTTTCATTTTTTTAAGAAACAATTTTTATTAAAAAAATAATAATAAAAGTAAGAATAATAATAATAAAGGAAAACCAGGAGATCCTCAAAATAACCCAGGAGCTTACATGAAAAAGTGCATTAACCATAATCTAATTTTTAATCATGACCTCCCCAAGACACATTACGTCATAAAGTCTCAGGAAGAACAATATCAATTAGTCATATTCTTCAGAAATATAAAAGCTTGCTTACGTATTTAACAACAGCACACCACAAATTGAAATTTTAGCCCAATATTTTACTTTACCCACAAGGCCTAAAGAAATATTGATGACAAATATTAAGAAAATAAATCTACCCTAATCAATACTTAATATACATTTCTATGGTTTTTATCAAAGTTCTTTGTATTTTAAATTGAAGCTTGTGCCCTGCTTCTTCAAAGGAACAACCAGAAAACCGCTTTTAGCCTTTCAAACCATTGATTGGCACAAACATTGAATAGAGTACAATTACAGAAAAAGATATAAGAGAACACCATCAAAATCACCAATTGCCAATGATTATCATAATCCACCAAAATTTCTTGGAAAACAATCCTATAACTTCCCAAGTAAAGTTCTTGATATAAGGCTTTAAAAACACTGCTCATTAGTTTTAAACTAATGAATCATTGCCCTCCAGAAAGAAAAAAGTCACAAAGAGAACCGACACAAAAGCGCTCCAACCACCCATTGGTTCTAAACTTGCAAAGCAAGTACCAAGCCTACAAAAAGATTCAAGTTCGGAATATCATGGCCGGAAGCCCCTACCGATTCAGCATATCGCCAATCAAATTCCACCAAAATCACTAGGAAAAAAAACCACTAAACCATTACTTTCAGCTTCTTTCATATCATTCTTAGATTCAGATTTCGCCCGAGAAGCCACAAAAAGAAAAACAACAATAAACTTCCAAAGGCACTAACTATCTTCCAAGTTCCATTGACTGATTCTCAATTCACAACTCGCACGCCCAAACTAAGCGACTAAAAATCCATCCAATTTCAAAGAAACGCAAAACAACTCAAATTCCATCGACATTCAAGAACCAAAGATAACATGCGAACTAGCACGGCTACTGAAAACTTGAAAAGAAAGTTGAAAACACATACTGAAGATGGGAAGGTTTGCCGCATCGTGCGCAAGTTAACGTAACAGCTTCGGCCGCATCTGAACCGCCGGCCATCGAACCACTAACAGAAACGAATCCTCTTACCTCCTCTTCCGCCGCCGGCTACAAAATATGAATTGCTAACTTTAACTAATACGAATGGAGCGATTGAAATATATAGGAGGTTCTGAGAAAAGAAAGTTCTTCGATTGGTTTCGCTTGACAAAAGTTAAATATTGTTTATTAATTATTAAACCTCCATTACCACCAACCAAGCGCCTGTAGCTCAGTGGATAGAGCGTCTGTTTCCTAAGCAGAAAGTCGTAGGTTCGACCCCTACCTGGCGCGTTTTTTATTTACGATTTATTTTTATTTCTCATTTCTTTCTTAATTTATAAATAGTTTTTAGTTTTTTTTTTTAATTACTTTCTTCATTTACAAATAGTTCTTAATTTCTATTACTTTATTATTTACAAATTTATTTATCATTTCATAGCTTCTTATTATTACAGATATTGTTAGGATTAATGTCTTAAATTATCTTCTGTGTAAAGAAAAAGTCAGAGATTATTAATTTGCCTTAAATGAGGAAAAGCAAGAAAGTCGCACTTTGTTAATTAAACTAACTCGAGGGTAAAAATGTCATTTTTTTGTAATAATTAATTATATTTTTTCTTTGTTTTGCACAAAATTGTCAAATTTAATTTATATTAATTTTGACTAAACTTTATATATTTTCTCCATTTAACCTTTGTGTAAATACATATTCAATCACCGACCCCAAAACTCAAACTCCAGCCTCGAATGGCACGCCGGTGGCCGGAATCCAAGCGTCACCGTGAAGAAACTCAGCCACCGTGAAACGCCGCGCCTCCTCCGCGCTACGGAGGACATGAAATCCCGGCCAATGAACCCTAAATCTAGTAGAAGAACCACCGCCAGTGTTCTTAAACTCAGCGTAAAACAGAGTGGAAATTGCAAAATCGCCCCTCCATTCTCCCCACCCTTTCGGGTCGATTAATCCGTCCAAATCCGTCGTCATAACCACCGTCCTTGAAAATCTCTTCCACGGCCGACCGAGGTAGGTCCTGAAATCGCCCTTGACGGCGGCGAGTTCGGGCGCCGCCCTGACTCTGCAGCTGATAATCGAAATTCCGGTGGCCTCGGCTGGATCGTCGCGGCCTTGGGCCGTTATCATGTTGGCCTGGTGGCGTATCGGACGTCGGACGAAGATGTCGCAGTTTTGGAGAACGGCGGCGGCGTTGCCAAAGATGAAATCTATGGTGCCGTAGATTTGGCAGTCGCGGTAGAATTGACGGAGGGAGTGGAGGAACAGGGTGTCCTGATAGCCTTTTATTGTGCACCGGTATACGACGGCGAGGTCGGAATTCAGCCGTAGCGCCACCGCTTGTTGCTTTTCCGGTCCGGCGGTGTTCTCGAATGTTATGTCTCTTACCCAGAATCCGTCACCGGAAACGCCTGCTCATAATTAGTTTTATAATTTAAATATTTCAAATTAAAAAAATAAATAATTATAGAAACTGATTTACGGATAAAAACATTGCAAATTACCTAAATTAAAGACTAATTAAATTAATTGTTTAGTATTATTATAATTTTCTAATTTTGTGGCTTAATTCGAATATTATATATATATATATATATGTTTGTTGTCGTTTGAGAACTCACCAAATGTAGCTGAGCTGTAAGTGGTGGCGCCGTCCGGGACGTTGCGGTTACCGGTGACGATGGTTTTGTCAGCGCCGTCGCCGACGACCATGACGTTCTTCAACTGCATTCCGATTTCCACATTCTCCGTGTAAACTCCGGCTTTCACGTATATCACCACCCTCTCCGACCGCCGTCTACGGCCATCTCTGGCCAGAGCCGCCACCGCGCCGTTTATGGTTGTGTGGGTGCCGGAGCCGTCCATCGCCACCACATAGTCCGGCTTCGACGTCGCCGCATTCCATTTCGCCAAGTTGATTCTCCAGTTTTCCCTCGATCTCTCTTTCTCCACTCGTTCCCGTACTGAATTAAAAAATTCTTTTATTATTATTATTATTTTTTATTTTTTATATTTTTATTCCTCGGATAAATTACACTTTTTCCCCAAAAATAATAAATTAATAAACATATATATCGATTTTTAAAAAATTAAAAAATATATTTTTATCCGAATATTTTTCCGGATATAATAAAAAACAACACTCAAACTTTAAAAAATTTGATTAATAACCTTCAACTTTAATTCAAAAATAATTAGTATTAAGTTTTAAAAATATTTATGAAATTTTAAAAATAAGTATTAAAATTAAAATTATTACCTTTAAAAAAGGGTTACAATCAATATATTAATAAAAAGAAATTAGTTTTTCAAAAGAATTTAAAGGTATTAATAATTAAAAAATATGATAAAAGGGTATTTTTGAAATTTCTCTTAATTTTATTTTTTAGTATGATACTAATAATTTCATTAAAGGGTATTTTTCAAACTTCTCTTATTTTTATTTTAAAAAAAAATATTAATTTTTATTTTTTAAAAATATTAATGATTTCTATAATAAAATTAACGTAGAATATTATTTTTGTGATAAAAAAGAAAGTTCCGACATATTTTTTAATTTATAAAAAAAAATAGAAAAGGTGAGTATAGAGTGAAATTAACGAAAAAAAAAGTTAAAATAAAAATTATAAAAATTTATAAAACAAAATATTTTTAAAAATTCAAATAAGATTAGATATTTTAAACGTTTAAAAAAACATAATTTTAAGCAACTTAAAACAAAATAATAATAATTAATAGAATCACAAAAAATTCAAAAAATAAATCACTTGGAATATCCAACGTGGTAAGCTCCTCCACGGCGGCAATTTTGCCGTATAAATGCAGAGCTCCGGTGAGCAACATGGTCAAGTTATTCCCATCCGCCGCCGGCACAGCGCCGACTTCTTCCAAGCCATCCAAACAACTCCGATGATTAGCCACGGCGGCGCTGAGCCATATCCGAGCATCATCCGCTGAATAATTCTCCCCAACTAACATCGCGGCAAGCCGGCTGTCGGCTTCCTCGTAGAGCGTATGGCAATCGCCAAGTGCGGCCTGCACATTCCCACGTTCAAAGCGACGTCGTTTCACATTATATATGTCGGATCTGGCTTTCACAATTCCGGTCCGCAACAACCGAACCGCGTCCGGCTCGTCTAACGAAGAAATAGAGAAAGCCATGATGGCTATGAAGAGGAGAAGAGGTGTTGCAAAGGGAAAGGGCATTTTGGTAATTGTAGAGAGGAGAAACAAGGGAAGTTACGTAAATGTAAATGATTTAATTTATTTATATATAGGTGGGTGTGGAGAGAGAGTGTGGGTGTGAGAAACACATGGAGTGTGGGTGTGGACACGTGTCAGTCGGACGGGAAGATAATTTTTTTTAACCAAATACACATGTTTATATCCACCGTTCATGCATATTCATGTTGGGAGTATATAGATGTTTAGTTTTTAAAATGTTATAAATATTATAAATATTATAATTCCTAAATTTTTTAATTTTATATCTAATTAAATCTTAAGATTTTAAATTTATTTTTGGTAAATAAATCCATTTAAAGTTAAAAATTTTAAAATTTCATCCTTGTAACATTCAAAAATATTTTTATGAAAAATAGTAAATATCTTATTTCAAAAATACTTTTAAAATTTCTTAATCTTGAAAAAAGTGTTCGCCATTCTCAGTTATTTCATGCTGATCGCCGCAAAAACCCCGGTGGCTACTCTCTCGACGATGGCGTGCACGGCAACCTCCTCCCTATAACTGCGACGACAAGCGGTGCATTATCTTCGGTAGAGACTGAGCAATGACGATAATCCTCTTTCCCAACCACACCCACGTCGCTCGAGAGTTAAGACCAGTGCGCCTTCTTCTAACGACATCGACTCCCATTGACCCATGCGAGCTCCTAAAATGGAAGTGAGTTGCATATCATAGTCTCGAGTATAAATGGTCAAGGGCATGATTCGAGGTTACCATGTCATCATGGGCATCCAACTCTCGAGTATAAATGACTAGAGTCAACAACGGTTAAGGGACATAATCATTGCCTGGCTCGTATGTCTTTATACAACCATCGAGTGCTTTATCAGATAGTTTATGTGAGATCTTATTCGTTCTTGAAATCAGGTTGAATTTTGTTACAAGTGGTCTCGGGGAAATTAGTAACGTCTTTTCATGCTAATTTATTAATTTTGGTTAAAAAAAATTATAATAATAATAATAAAAGGAGAGAAAAATAAATAAATAATAATGGTTATAATTAATATAAAATAATTTATCTTAAAAAGAAACGTGGATAGTTCATGAATGAGGGAATTGGAAGGAGGCCCAATGTAATAAATTTTTTAGCCCAATGTATGAAGCCTGTGTTGAGTTTGATTTTGGGACGCTAATTTATATTAAAAAAATTATAATTTTTTTAGGCGAAAAACAATTATAATTATAATTATTATTTTTTAATATAAATTTATTATACGGGCGTGGAAACACGCATTTTAAAACCATGAGACTAACGACAATATATAACAGGTCAAAATGGGCAATATCTAGCGGTGGACTTAAGTTGTTACAAATGGTATCAGAACCAAATATCAAACGGTGTGTCGATGTTGACGTTAGACCTCCAGGGAGGGTGAATTGTGAGACCCCACATTGGTTTAAGAGGGAAACGAAGAATTCCTTATAATGGTGTGGAAATCTCTCCCTAATATATACATTTTAAAACCTTGAGACTGACTATCGGCTAGCAGTGAGTTTAGGCTGTTACAGGAACTCAGTGTGAAAAGCCTCATGCCTAAACTTGACTAAACATTTCAAAAATATTTTCAAGAATGTTAAATCAAACGTCAAAATTCAAAATCGAATTAAACACAAGTAAACAGGTTTCGAAGAATCACGAAATTCGATTAAGAAATAAGGTCAAAAGTCAAGTAATAAAGCTCGTGTTGTCAACACCTCTCATCCGTCACGAAGACAAGTAAACTGTCTCATTTCTTTCCTCAAAATTCGATCAAAGTCACGAGAGTAGATTTAGTTAGTTTCTTATGTCATTCTACAAACCCGACAACTACCACCTAATAGTCAACGAAGGTGGGTTCATCGAACAATTATTAC